ATATATATATATATATATATATATATATATTCTTTGCTTTTCGCAGCAAGGAATTTCGTAAGATCATTAAAATAATCACACAATTTCTTAAATGTCTGAAATTTATGCTAAAAACGATTACGTAACTCTAAATGGGCTGGTGAGTGCCTTTTTTCTGCAAATCTTTACTGAATGTCATTGCAGACGCTAATGTACAGCCCAACTGCAATGTAGGTATCTTAACTATAAATGAAAGTGAAGGACTTTCAACACAGTGCTCGAGCAAAATGATTAAGCACAAAAGACACAGTCAAAACAGTCAAGTTAATGGCGTGCCATGAAAGCAAATTCTGTAATATCAGTGTTGAAAGCTACATTGATATGCTTCGAAAATTATACCAAGATTCCTCAATGTGGCAGATAGCGTTCTCTTCGTAAAACATTGATCTTAAGAATGCTTCCACAGATTGAATGCAAACACGACACACTACACGATGTGTTCTGTACAAAATCGTGATCCGAGTCAGTCTAGCTATGAGTTTTAGTCAAAGTATTAGGAAATGTTATACCGTAACGTGAAGTCACTCACGTTTTATTCAAATTTGCACATTGACTTATAAAAACCCTGACTTTGTAGAGAAAAGTAGCGTTGAAATAGTAGAACTATATCTTCGTTCCGTTCTACGTGTGGCAGATCACTGGCTATGTGGAAGCACGCCATTACTTCCTTTTCTTAACAACACATGTGGTACTCTATGTTACTAATGGTAATTACTATTGTTTATTTTTGATTTGTAGTAAGATGTAAGAATTACGGATGATCTCTGCAATGATTATTACGAATGGAATCTAGGCAGCGTTTGTGAAGTTTCATAGAAAAGCGATAACTATCTGCACAGTTAGTGGGAGATAAATGTCTTATACCTAAACGCTCAGACATTCATCCCCCAACATTCAGACCCCAAACATTCCTTTTGAACGAGTGCCCAACTGACAACTTCAATTTATATACAGACATGCAGGCATGGGACGCTTTGTTGAGTTCCTGCATTCAGAAACGTTCTTGAAATGGTCGTGAAAGTATTCCCATTGTATACCGATTATGCTGTATTTCTTTATTTCTTTACTTATTTATTTACATACTTTACATTGAAGTTTAGGAGCATTTCTTCAGCTAAAATCATTAACGTTCATGAGAAATAATCTTATGGGGAGAGGAGAGCGTGAATGAAGACATGATTGATGAAGGAAAAAGCATGGAATGCATGGGAGTGAATCTGTGATCCCAAGAAAATCGGCTGAGAATGGCCGTTTTGTCCATCACATATTTCACGTGTAATGTCCGGATCGAACCGGACGCCAGCGGTGGAAGGCGAAACCGCTATTAAATTCGTCTTAAACTCCCCTCCCTTGTGATGTGTCTGTGGTAGGTGAGGTGTTCCATTAGTGGAAAAACCCTTAAGGCACTTGTCTGTCATCTATTAATGTTCCATTTTCAGTTTTATTAATATATTCGAATTATTTATTGTTATAATTTTTGTTTTATACTCTCCTTAGACTCCTGCACAACTGTTTTGCTAGATCATAGAAATACTTTACGAGAGGAACGCTAAAGAGTGACTAGTAAAACACGAAATTTTGTCGAGTTGGAGGAAGAATGTCCTGAGACTACGTGTTCAAAAACGGGAATATAACTATCATTTCTATCACAATAGAAAGAGAATCTTCCATTGTGTCCAATAATCCAATTTTGTGTCATTATCTAATCTTGATTCCCATACAAACGTATGTAATAAGCAAATCTGTAGATCTGTTTACTTTCTGCAAATTTCATTTACCACACTGCTCCACTCTGTGAGCTTGCAACTTCCCTGTTGCTGTGAGGTTGCAACCACTGTAAAAAGCAGCAGAATCGCCCCTTCAAGTTAACAAGAGCGAGGAAACAATATCCATTGCGACCATTGACCACAAACCTACGGGGAGAGGTGGCTCACGGCATCAACACATGACACTACAGTGCCTCTGAACGGGAGGTCCTATGACGCGATAGTGGCAGGATTTTCGACTCTGCCTAGAGATATTGTGTGAATTCAGTGGCTGCCTGGAAGAGTATTCTACATGCCGGATGCTCTGATCGGTAGTTGACCGGGGTTTCTCCGATCAAAATCAGTCGAAAGCCGGAGCAGTAACCTTCCAAACAGGCCGCACACAGTGCGCGATTTTTCCTTCCCCTTGGTTGTCCTATCTTCATCCCCCGCTGGAGGGAGATACTTGGTGGGGGAAAATACAGCTAGCCGACAGGTAGTTCAGCGCCGGATCTCGCCATCCAGCTGGGCAAGATCACCGCCACCTCCCGAGGAAAAAATGCATTACACTTACGGCACTAATGACCATTGAAGGTGTCGCGCCAAGAATAACTAATCAAACAAAAACAACAAATCTTAACGATGTTCATCTCCGTGTAAAAACTATCGCAAGGAGTAGTCTAAAGAATTACCTTTGTCACTTTTAATTTTTGCTCGTATAAGCTACTGATGGTGATTTTTTGGCTCAATTATTCTCATATTTGCCTTTTGCTTAGATCTGGAATCGTTGATGAACGTCACTCACTTGTGGCCTCAATGCTACGTCACACATCGCGTGGAATGTTGGTGCTTATTCGGCAGCAAGTACAAGGCGAGACGTCGTGAGGTAGTGAAGATAATGCGTTTGTGGCAGCTGGAAGAGCGGCGTGTGGTAAGGAGCAAGAGATATTCTTCGTTCTTTGAGCTCTCTTCGTCTTCTTTCACTTGCTTTACTTCAACTTCTGTGCTGCTGCTGCATGTATTGCTTTCTCAAGATGATACAAGATATTATATTTCTTTTTTTTACAGAATGATTTCTATAAGCTTTTCTTTCGTGAAATAGTATTTTGTGATTTTCTACACAATTGGAACGCATGGTTATTCATCAGAAGAATCTATTAGCATTTTGAAAACATTCTTGGATCATCAACACACGTTTCCCAAATTAGGTCACACAATGAATGTAGGGTGAATATTCTTCTAGGATTTTCATTCCTGTCTCTGCAAGGTTTTCTCAAATTCAGCATGTTGGTTAGTAAGATGTTTGTTTAGAAGTGTATTTTTCTACTAAATGAATTTTCCTTCTTGATGGATTGGCTGAGAAAATTATTTTGTTTCGTTAGCACTTCTCTTGAATGTTCAGTATTGTATGAATTTGTATTTATCTAGAAAATGTTAGTTACAACTCTCTTGAAATCATGTCTTTCAAAAGTTGATCTTTACGTTTCGTACAATTTATGATCTTACACAATGTACAAAGTGGGATACTTATTTCAATACCAGGTGTATGCACAATTTTTGCCGGTTTTTGTGGTAGAGGAAACACGTAATTTTCAAGGGAAGTTCATTTATTGTTCACAAAAAATTGGCCATCGGCTTCTACACACTTCACCCACCTTTCAGGTAAGATATGAATGTACCATGCCAGAAAACTGCGAAGACTTTTGCAGCAAACCATTCGTCGAGCCGTTTTCCAACTTCCTTGAAATTGCTGAAATGCTGCGCTCGGAGCGCACGACCCATTGATGCGAAGAGGTGATAGTCAGTTGGCAACAGGTCGGGGGAGTACGGCAGGGGAGAAAGGTTGTAACATCCAAGCGATTTCGAGGTGTCTTTTACTGGTTTTGCCGTGTGAGTCGGCGCATTGCCATGCATTTGCTGTTCATTCAAACCGTGTGGAACCCATTTACCGACATTCTTGATCATAGCCATTGCTCGTAATTGAGTGCTTATTATATCTTGTGACACATTTAATGCTTTTACAAATTGCTATTGAGTTTGATTTGGCTCATCATCCCATAATCCCTGCAATTGCTCGTCTTCTTTTCTTGGCTTCTTTTCTGGTCTACCAGAGCGCGCACTCTTTCACATTGAAACCATCACGTTTAAATTGTCTAAACCATGTCTCATAAGTTCTAATAGCTGGAGCGTATTTACCATATACCATATGTTTTTACCAGTAACCGATGACTTTCCAAAGCCTTTTTATTTTGCAATGCAATAAGAAAAGCAATGCGTACCGCAAATATTATTTTTCAGGCACAAACGCTAATGATCACTGAACGATACAACACAGACGCCAGTGTTTGGCGGAGTTGTGTGTGTTGGTTGTTTAATGACAGACAAACAAACTGACGTAGTGGCAGATTCATACGCTACATACTCTTCGCTGGAGCCATCTCTCAGTGAAACCGAAAAGACTTATGTATACACTTGGTATTTATACACTCCTTTTTCTGCATTTCTTATAATTGCTGCGCGATATTTTATAAAAAACAGCCGTGAATTAGTAGCTTGACCGTTGAAGAAGGTACATGTATTACTTAAAGAACTTATGTCAATAGTATTAGTATGACACAATACTAGTACAATTAAGTTCAAAATAACAGAATCAATTTCTTGTAAAATACTTACGAATTTTCGAAGTGTATCATATAAAAACATTATTTTTCTGCTAAATAACAAATTCTACGAAAGATTTAATTCTATCAAATATTTAAGTTTACAAAATTTACTTGTATTCCCGAAATGTGAGAAAATGTAAATGATAATATGATATAAATTCAATTATTGTTTCAGGCAACAAGTGAGCGGTATCGCCAGAAGGAGGATTTTGTTGTCAATTTGCAGCCCATGGTGGAATTTGTAGTGATTCCTAAAAAGGGAAATCGAAGTGATTTAAATTTTCTATCAGAAGACTGCTTTCACCTTAGCCAGAAAGGAATCGCAATGGGTATGTTCAATTCAATTTCTGCATTATCGGTATAAACTTTCAAAAGATTCCTGAAATGTCTTCGTTCTCAATATCCTGTTGAAAACTAGTGATTCCAAGGGAGGAAATAATATTTCAATATTAAAGTACGACCGGAATGTGAACTGAAATAAAAAGTCAGATTTGAAATTTCTATTAAAGAATACTTTAAAATTTAAATGTAAATCAATTCTCAGAATGACAAAATGTTTACTATTAATAAATGAAATATAGTGGGAGGAATAGCGTAAAACATTGTAATATAATGTACCATACTATGAAATAAAACATGATTTAGAACAATCAGATGAGATACTTGGCTGTCTGAAAAAAGGCCAAGTCTTTCTCCTATCGTTTCTCGAAATCTGTTTCTCGATTCTGACTCTTCACGTATTCTCCGAACGAGGGAGTTTGCTCTCCTGTGTGAGAGGGTCCGCCATGACTGAACGCAATTTTCCAACATCGAACGTGTGTTGCTTCATTTAGTGGACATTTACTGCTATCAAGCACACTTTAGCATCGACTGGTTTACACTGGAAATAGTTTTGGCGGAATCTGCGAACCGTGTATAAGAAAAAAAGAAACATGTAAGCAAATTAGAGAAACGTATGGCTTCTTTGAGTCGACGGTTGCCGATCGAACATACTGATGAAGCTACCTGGGTAGTGCTCATTAAAGGCCTCAATTTTGTCCCTAATTCGAACGAGTCCCTATTCACGATACAGTGGAAGGGATGGAAAGCTCAGGTTCAAAGCTGCCCACCGATCAGGCAAACCACAATCGCATCTTGGCCCTTATCACACTGCCACGTAGAAATTTCCTGCGCGAGGAACGGGTAGCGTTGCATGAACAACGAAATTGCGTAGATTTCATCGAAGTGCCTGAGGAAAAAGACAATGCCGTGATGGCAAGGAAACTGAAGACAACCTGTCCAAAGTCGCGGTGTGATCACTGATATCAGCACAGTAACCGCGTACGAAGTTGAGAGAAGAGTTCCCGCCACGGGTGGCTACAGAATTGGAGACTTGTAAACCTTGGTTAAAACGGGGTAACCATTTACAAAGCCACCTAATCCAAGGCGCTATGATCTCTTAGGATTCACAATCCCGACGTGCCACTGCGCTCAATGGTGAGCGGTATTAACTCCTCCGCCTGCCGTCTAGCTCGATGTGTTCCCCCTAACAAACCAGCCAAGGACAATTCTTCAACAACATTTTCTCAAACACGCCTATAAATTTTTACTTTACCCTTTTGGTAGGGGTAGTGCTAAATGAACTCTATGAGATGACATAAACGTCATATTGCTCTATTATTTCTTTTTTTCAAAAATTACAAAAATGTAATTTGTTTGACTTGTCTCTCAAATCGTTAATATTTATATTATCGGCAATGTGTTCACATTATTGTATTTATGAATACATGCGATTTAAATAATTTCATATAAAGTGTCTCGATAACTCAACCGATTTCTGTGAAAACTAGCTCAAATTTTCGCATTTTCAAAAACGTTTAACATTCATTTCCTCACAAAAAGGCTCCAAACGTTTCGAAAGACAGTGCTAATTGTACTACTTAATATGACGTAAAGTAAATTTCGGGGTGTTTTTTTGTTTTTCGAAAATTACATACATAATATCATTGTTTTGAAAGGTCTCACACGCCTATAATATGGACATTTCCAGCAATTTCTAAACATTATTGTATTTGTTTGTTAATGTGCTTCAAATAATTTTATATGAAGTTTTTGAAAAACTCAAACGTTTTCTGTGACAAAGTGCTTCAAATTTCGAATTTACTGCAGCGCTTAAGCGCAATTTTCTTAAAAACGGCTCCAAATTTTTCAAAGAAAATTGCCATTGGGAACGAGGTCTTACTGTTCTATAATATTCTAAATATAATATTTCTATTCTACTATAAGGAAATCTAAAAATTAAGGAAATTTAAAAATTAACAAAAGTTTAGAAAATGTACATTGGGTGGCGAAAGATGACAGCAGGCAAGAATATGTGACAAGTTTATAGACGAATAGCCAGCCGAGAGCAAAGGAAATATTATTATTTATTTAATAGGTAATTATTAC